ATCCACTTCGCCATTGGTCAGTTTGCCGATCTGACCAATAACGAAGTGGATGGAGCGGATCAAACCGATCAAGTATGGCGCCTGCCTAACAGATGACAATAACAGCTTGCTTAGAATTTCATCAGTGTTCAAGAAAAGAGCTCAATCTTTTGGTGGACTTGTTTGTCATGCACAGATATTCGAATATCGGCAATAAAGTAAAAATCCGCATCGGCAATAAAGTAAAAAATTTAATTCATATGGTTTTGCATGCTGCAAATGTTTTAGATCTTGCCAACACTGCACATGTTTACCCAGCATTTTTAGGCAATACCAAGCGCTCGTCCATTTTCAATAGACGATTTTCTGTTGACATTAGATGGCTCCGGACCATCGCTGACATGTGGCGTCAAGGGTGACTGGCAAGGTAGCTCCTTATGGATATATGTGCATTGAAGATCTTTAAATGTTTTGTTTAGGTCTTTACCGCCGGTTTGTAAGCAGCGCGAACTTTGTCGGTTGGTTGGCGAACCGTAATAAAGACGTCAATGCTCAACTGAAGGCGCAGTACGTGGAAGCATTGTGTTCTGCTGATTTAGGTATTTTTACTTACTTGTTCTATTTATTCATATATTTCTTCCTCGGATGGAACTCTCAGTTAGTGATCCCAATGGTTTTCAGGATCAAAAGTACTGGCTACAAAACATCATGTAGAAATAGTTGATCTGGTACTGAGAGTTCGACAACGAATTATAGAGTTGGAAGAAGCGAATGAGAAGCGGCATCAATTGGTAAGCGACAATATTTGCTTTGCTATTCTACTAGTATTTTCAGTATGGTATTCCAGGTCCGTCAAATCGTCTCGATATTGTCTGGAGTTGACGAAGATCTGAAACAAGTATTGATGTCTAATTGTTCCTTGCGCGAAATTGTATCATAGCGTCGAGTTAGTCTACACAATTTTCCCCATGTTATGAGAGAGGTGATTGGCTAGTTGAGTTTATACTTTACATATTTTCTCGATCTTCAATCACAGATCACCATTTTTTTAACTTTTACCCTATTTTCGTTTTGAGATTCTTGTATGGGTCTGATATTCTACAGTTGTCTTTAGTAGCAAGTGCCGATCACGCAAATCTCGTTTAGTTGATCTGTCTGGAATATCGATTCGCCTCCATATCTTTGAGGCTTCGTTGTTATCCATTTCTCTTGAAATCATATTTGGAATTACTTATCGTGTGCTGGATTGACGTAATATCTTCCGATACGGGTTTATATGGTGGTAGTTTGATTATGTCTATATTTTTTGTCACCTTCTATGTCAGGCGATGTTTCATAGTTTTTGAATGTTGGTAATTTATGTAAATTGTCATATACCAACAAATGTTGTTGTGCGATTTGGTGTAGTCGAGTCAAGATGTTCCAAGGGCAGCAACGGCAGCTGATCAAGACAGCTGAAGTGATTGGTCAAATAATCTCCACCTACCTGAGTTGGCTTTGGTCACTTAGTTGCCTAACCAGACTATCGCAGGGATGGTATACAAGAAGATTCCAAAGGAATGAACTGAAACCATGACACCGAACGTTTTCACGGTTTCAGTTCCAAAAGTTAAAGCTGAAACCAAGAAAATGAACCGTGAACTATGCCTTGATCATAGTTCACGC